GTTGAACGGGTTTAAAGCGGCCTGGCCCACAGCGACGTGGGGAGCGGGGAGCATGCCTCTCCCTGGGTCCGTGCGATGAGAAAAAGGAAGGGAAGGAACCCTGTGTTTTCTGGGGAAGGACAGTCCCTCCCCATGTCCATCTCTGGAAGGTTGAGTGAAGAATGTAAAGCAATTCCTACATCCTTCTGGAGTTTTCCACCGAAATGTGCAAACTTCTGAACAGGAGGAAGGATGCAAGCCCAGGGGGAGAGGGCGGGGGTGGGTGCGGGGGAGGGGCCCCTGGGCAGGTGCACGCTGTGCTGGGATGTGTGCTGTTCCCTTGTCAGGGAAACGGGGGACAGGGCGGGGTGCCCCAGGGAAGCCCAGGCTGAGGTCAGAGAGCCAGGTGGGCCCACTCTGCCCCGTCGCTCTGGGCCTGGGATGGATGATCTGGATGTGTCTGGAGTCAGGGCCAGGCTGCTCTGTAGGAGGTGTCAGGTCTGCCCTCCTGAGCCCCAGCCCAGCCCCGGCCTCAGCACTGTTCCCCAGGCTGTCCCAGCCCCTCTCCAATCTCAGGCCCCGGGCCTCAGGCAAAGCTCTGAGATGGGGGCCCGGGAGATGGGGGTGGAGCAGCACAGTAGGACCACCTGTCATCTGCTCGGGGTGCCCCCTCCACCCGGACACGGCACCTTGTGGATGTTTTGGTCCCTTGTTCCCAGAAATGGAGATGGGGCCCTGGCTGGTTTTGCTCAGTGGATAGAGCGTTGGGCCTGTGACTGAAGGGTCCTGGGTTCGATTCCTGTCAAAGGGCACCTGCCCAGGTTGCAGGCTAGGTCCCTAGTAGGGAGCGTGCAGGAGGCAGCCAATCAATGATTCTCATCATTGATGTTTCTAATCTCTCTATCCCTCTCTCTTCTTCTCTGAAATCAATAAAAATATATATATTAAAATGAAAAAAAAAAAAAAGAAATGGAGATGGGCCTTCTGTCAAAGCCCAGAAATGGAAAAAGAAGGAGCAGTTGGGAGGTTGAGGTTCTTCCCGTAAAACACACGTGGGGAGTGTAGACATCTCCTGTTTCCGTCAGAGAGGAGGGAGGCATCGGGTGTGTCCGGGAACCCTGACGTGGTTCCTTTTTGTCACGTGTGAGCGAGTGAGCCTGTGCCCCTTGCGTCTGGGCCGGGGATGGGCTGGGCCGGGGATGGGCTGGGCCGGTTGGCACAGGCACAACTGAGGGTGAGGCCTGGTCTTGACATATCTGTGGCTTTTAAGGTCCTGGCAACATTGAGGGGGAGTTGGCTGTTCTCACCTCCCCAGGGTCACAACCTGCAGACGGGGCAAGGTGTGCGGCCTCCCCACAGCCCCGAGGAAAGAGCGTGGGGCCCTTCTCCCTGGGAGTCCTCAGCCTCAGCCCCTGGAGCCAGCGGGGCCCAGGCTCCTCCTCTGCTGGGTTTGCATCCTGACTGCCAGGAGCCGGCCAGTGGGGAGGGGACCCTCCGCACAGAATCAACCCTCGACAACTGAGTCTGTTATTGCTACTCTCCACTTACCAGCGTCCACCTGCTCCAGAGCCTCAGGCAGGGAGAGGGGAGCCTGAGTTCCGTCCGCAGATCCAGGGTTTTGCGTGTTGTTTTCTGCTCCCAAGAACCCCTGAGTCCTGTGAGGACAGTGGCTGGAGGCTGGCTCTGTTTCTCTGTTCCTGATGATATGGAGAGCTGTGGCTGTCCCTGTCCCTGTCCCTGTCCATGGTCCCCAGGTTTAATGAGCTGGAGACCTGTGGCTGTCCCCTGTCCCCTCTCATTGGCTCTGGGCCAGGGAGGGTATGGCTCTGTTCTCCGAGGGCGCCTCCTCCTGGGGGTGAGTTAGGCCTGAGGGGTGTGAGCCCCCGGATCCTTTTCTGTCCCTCTCAGCTCCCTCTGCCGTGTATACAGCAGGTGCTCAGGGTGTGCAAACGCAGTGACTTGCAAAGACTTTGGGGAGATGGAAGGGCTTTGGGGAAGTAGGAGCCTGGCTTCCATCCAGCTCTAAGAGAGGGTTTTGCTCATCGCAGTAGCCACAGCGACCTGGGCGTTCACCGTGCCCATCCCCACACGCCCGTTTTCCCTTTATCGACAATTCCTTTTTTTTTTATCCTCACCCGAGGATATTTTTCCATTGATTTTTAGAGAGAGTTGAAGAGAGGCAAAGACAGAGAGAAACACTGATGTGAGAGAAACATACCGATTGGGCGCCTCCTGCACAAGCCCTGACCAGGGCCCTGGTTGGGGAGGAGCCTGCAACAAAGGTCCATGCCCTTCACCAGAACTGAATCCGGGACCCTTCGGTCCGCAGGCTGATGCTCTCTCCACTGGGCCTAACCGGCCAGGGCAGCACATTCCGTTCTATAAAGTCCGAGATGCTTGGGGACTCAGTGCCTGTCTTCTCCCACTGGTGTCCTCGGACTCCCAGTGGCTGCCCACCTGCAGGCATCGGCCCTCATCCCAGGCAAAGGGAAGCACATAAGACCCACCCCAGGCCTGCGAGCCCGCATGTCTTTTTGGTGACAGGTGTCACTGTCCACCATGAGGGTGACGGAGGAGAACCCCACGAGTTCACAGTTTCAGCTGGAGCGTGAGACCCCACTGGTCCTCCTTGAGGTTGCCCCTCCGTCTGGGCGCCCACAGCCCTGGCCGCCTCTGTCCCCTCTGAGGGGCTTGGGAAGGAGGACCTGCTCAGGACACTGAGGTGAGGAGTCTGGATGGGGCGGCAAAACGAGAGGGGCCGGGACCAAACACGCACACACACACACACACACACACAGACACACACACACACAGACACACACACAGACACACACAGAGACACACACACAGACACACACAGACACACACAGACACACACAGACACACACAGACACACACACACAGACACACACACAGACACACACACATAGAAACACACACACAGACATAGACACACACACACAGACACACACACAGAGACTCACACACACACAGACACACACACACAGACACACACACACACCCACACACCCCCACACACACCCACACACACACACAGACACACACAGAGACACACACACAGACACACACACACAGACACACACACACAGACTCACACACACAGACACACACAGACACACACACACAGAGAGACACACACAGACTCACACACACACAGAGACACACACAGACACACACACACACATACGCAAGCAGATGACAAGCAGGAATCTCCTAGGTTCTCCAGACACACCCACAAGCCCCCATCTGAGTGGCAGGAAGCAGAGGACGTGCCCACTCCCAGGCGGGTTTGCCAGGACCTCATCATCGAATCAGCTCCTTGGGTTTGGATACCTGGACTCTGGCAAGAGCCCCCACTTCTGTTCCTGGAAGCAAATGACCAAGATGCAGTCACTCTGGGAAAGCGGACGAGTGGGTAGAAGACACGTGGTCTCACATGACAAGAGGGGTCCCCACTCTCTGCGCTGTCACATGCAGGTCCAGGCAGACCTGACCCCCAGCTCCCACAGCCCCGTCTCCCTGGAGCTTTGCCCCTGACACGGGGACCTGAGACCTCGGAGAGGGTAGCTCGCAGCTTAGGACACGGCTGAGCCCTGGGCTCCCCACCTCAGCCTGTCCTCCTGCCGGAAGGCACCTGCGGGAAGGCAGTCCCGGGCCTCATGCAGAGCAGCCTCTTGCCCAGCCAGTGTGGCTCAGCGGTTGAGCATCGACCTATGAAGCAGGAGTTTGCGGTTCAATTCCCCGTCAGGGCACATGCCCGGGTTGTGGGCTCGATCCCCAATGAGGGGGGTGCAGGAGGCAGCCGATCAATGATTCTCTCTCATCATTGATGTTTCTAAGTTTATCTCCCTCTCCCTTTCTCTCTGAAATCAATAAAAAAAATATTACAATGAAACATACAACAACGTGTCTTCTGATTTGATGATGAGGAGCTGATTCGATGATGAGGTTCTTGCAAACCCGCCCGGGAGTGGGGACATCCTCTGCTTCCTGCCACTCAGACGGGGGTCTGTGGGTGTGTCTGGAGAACCTAGGAGATTCCTGCTTGTCATCTGCTTGCGTATGTGTGTGTGTGTGTGTCTGTGTTTGGTGAGTCAGGGCATATCTGTAGCACCTGCGGTGGAACCACCAGCAGAAAGAAAGGGAATTAGCCACAGCCACGGAGCCAGAATGCCACGCGGAATGCACTGGGGACAGACCCGGGGCTGCGCTGGGCATGTCCCCTGGGTAGGAGCCCGGGGCCAGCTCTGGGTGGTCTGAGAGGAGCCGGATGGACAGACAGTCGGACAGAGGGGCATCCCCTTAGGGACAAACACTACCAGCTGGGGCTCAGTTCACACTTGAGCCTGGAACACAAAGTCCCCCGTTCATCGAGTTTGGGAGTGGAGAGGACGAGCGGTGCCCCTTCCTGAGGCGGGCATACCCTGCATCCTCTGCTCCCAGGCCATCCTGGCCGCCCTGCTGGGAGCCTCTCTGTTCTCCTCTGTGTGATGGGCGGACAAAGGCTCCAACTCCAGTTCCTTCCCCTACAGGGTGGCTCCTAAGGGGAGCTCAGCTCACGTTGGTCCCGCCCTGCCCTTCCTCTCAGGGCAGAGTCTCCCTCCTGGCTCAGCCCCACAGGTCCCTGCACTGAGCCGGGCCATGCCCTGCACTGGCGGCCACGGGAGAGTCAGGGATGGGCACCCAGGGCCTGTCCTGTGGGGGCTCCGTGTCCTGTGCCCGGACCCTCCTCAGGTAGGAGCACCTGTCCTCTCACCTGCGCTCTCACCTCCTGCCTGGCTGTGCCGTGCTGCCCATAGTGACCCCACCTCCTGGGACCTCACTGGCCCAGGCTAGTCCAGGGAGGGCCTTTGTCAGAACAGAGAAATCAAAACCCAACTTGCCCCTGAGGGCACAGGATGAGACATTTGGGCAGAAAAGTTCCCTCTCCTATGACTCCATGTGGGTGGCATGAGTGTCTTTAGTTTTGGGAAGGGGTGGGGCTCAGCAGTGCCAGCTCAGCAGCTTCCAGGTGCTTCCATGGCATATAAGGCACCTCAGTCCTTGAAAGCGTCCCAGACACAGGACGGCCTGTGGCTAGAAGAGAAGGTGAAGGAGCTGAGACATGGAGAACAACCCAGCACCAACTGGCAGGTACCACCCGCCCTGGAGCAGCCCTGCTTCTGAGCCCTTCCTCCTGGCTCCCTGAAGGAGACTTTGCCTTTCTTCCCCAGGGGGACCCGCCTTCTCCCCAAGGGACCCCCCTGCTTCTCCCGTCCCTCCTGATGGCCCTTCTTTGTCCAGGACCCCTCAGCTGATGCCCAGTGGGCCTATCCTACCTGCCTCCCCTAAGCCCCTGGCTAGACTCTGGGGGTCGCCTTTGAGGGTCCCTGTTTCTCCTCTCCCTCCATCTCCCATGAAATCTATTCTTTCTGCTCTGAACTGAGGCCCTAGGACAGTGATGGCGAACCTATGACAGGCGAGTCAGAGGTGACACGCGAACTCATTTTTTTGGTTGATTTTTCTTTGTTAAATGGCATTTATATATATAATATAAATATCAAAAATATAAATCTTTGTTTTACTATGGTTGCAAGGATCAAAAATTTCTATATGTGACACGGCATCAGAGTTAAGTTAGGGTTTTTCAAAATGCTGACACGCCGAGCTCAAAAGGTTCGCCATCACTGCCCTAGGAGGTCACATTCAGATTTATGTTTTTGTTTTTGTAAAGGACATGATTGTTTTCATGATGAGAAGGGAAATGTGATGAGTTATTTGGGAAGACTAGCTTGGCATCTCTTTTCCCTGATGGGGCCACCCTTTCCCCTGATGCACCATGTGGCTCAGGTTAACCCAGAAGAGCAGAGGAAACAGCGCCACTGGGCTGCACCTGGCAGGGCTGGGTCAGCGGGACGAGGGCAGGACGGTGATGCCAGGAGAGGCCCCGTCAGAGCTCTGAGCCCCTGCACTGCTCCCGGGGGGGGACCCTTAAAAAGGACTGGACTGACCTCCCCAAGAGCCCCCAAAGGGTCAGAGAGGGAGGTCAGGTGGCTCCAGCTAAGTGAGTGGACGCCCATCCTCTGTGGTTCTAGTCGGGATGTGGGTGCAGAGGGGAGGAGAACGGGGTGATCCCCAGAGGAGCCCCATGCCTTGCTTCCTCCTGCCTGTGCCCACAGAACCCTGATCAATAAAGCAACCTTCAGGAGAAACTTCCGTAACAAATGTGAGAACCAAACATACCTGTGCTACGAGGTGGAGGTCTGGAAGGACGGTAAATGGACCAAAGTGGAGGAGCTCCAGGGCTTCCTTCGCAACCAGGTGAGCGAGCACAGCAGGCAGGGCCCCGGGACACTCGGGGGGAAGGTTCCATGCCCGCGGGGTGTCCTCTGAGCAATGTCCCTGGGCCCCCAGCTGCTGTGGCGTTGCCCAGAGGCAGGGAGGACGGACTCTGCTGTGATTGGCAGCTTGGAGCCCCATATCAGAAAGCAGTCACAGTGTCCCAGGGCCTGGGCCCACCAGCCCAGGGTCAGCCCAGCCTCCAGGGTCAGCCTGTCCCTCCTGCTGTGCCTCTGAGGAGGGGTCAGGCCAGAGGGAAAGGCACCTGGACAAAAGGCCGTTCTCCCCTGGTCCCGCCAGGGCCGCCTCTGGTCAGAGAGCCAGAGCTCCCCCTTGGTGCTCCCTCCAGTCACTCCTGGGACAGCCTGGAGGGTGCTGTCCCCACAAGTGCATTGGCAGCTGCACGTAGCCCAGGACGCCTCCTGGGTCCCCAGGTACCATCCTCTGCCACCAGGGCTCTGCGCTAGCTCCGTGGGCCTGACTTCTTCCTCCTCCCTGAGGCCCTGGTTGAAAACCCTTCCCTGGGCCGGTGGGCTAATCTCCATAATCCTGTGAGCCCAGCAGTGACGCTCATCCCGTGTCTCCCGCACCTCTGCCTCGGTGCCCTCACCCCTTCTTCCCGCAGAGTTGTGTCACCCTTGGGCGCAGCACAGGGGGAAGCCCAGAGTGGAAGCATGTGGAGGTGCTGGTGCACAGGCGGGAGCTGGAGGTAGGGGAGCAGAGGGAGAGCGCCCCTTCCTGGAGGAAGCACTCACCCCTGTGGTATCAGGCCCAGGACCTTGGGGCTCAGCTGCCTCTCCTCCCTCTGTCCTCAGCTATTTATTTATTTATTTATTTATATTTATTTATTTATATTTATTTACTTACTTACTTATTTAATTATTTAAAAGAATTTTATTGATTCCAGAGAGGAAGGGAGAGAGAGATAGAAATATCAATGATGAGAGAGAACCATTGGTTGGCTGCCTCCTGCACACCTCCTACTGAATCAAGCCTGCAACCTGGGCCTGGGCCTGGGCCCTCACCAGGAATGGAACCAGTGACCTGCTTGTGGCTGAGTCGCTGCTCAATCCACTGAGCAACACCGGCTGGGCTGTCCTCAGCTCTTTGTCTCCCTGTAGGGCCTGAGTAGGTGCAGCTCCTGAAGGCATAGGCGTTGGGCACGAAATACAGGCTCTCTGGGAACTCTGTATCAAGATAAATCATTTGGGACCCAGATCTGTGTTCTCAGTGGTTAGAGCGTCAGCCTGCACAGCCAGGGGCCAGGGGTAGGATTGTAGGTCAAGGGCACTTATCTCAGTTGCAGCTTTGATCCCGGGCCCCGGGTCGTGGAGTGTGGGGTGGGCAACCAGTGGATGTGTATCTCCCACATTGACGTTTCTCTCTCTCTGCCCCCTCCTCCATCCCTCCACTCTATCTCTAAAGATCAATGGAAAAAATCTCCCCAGGTGAGGATTTGAAAAAATAACCATATTTAATGCAAATCTTTAAAAATTCAAAACTAATGCAAATTCTATGGTGAATGGAATATCAACAGGCTAAGTGAAGACTGATCAGTTACAGAGCCATGGCAGCCATGGTTTGCTGAGGTAGAAAAGTCCTGACTGCTGATGTGCCCTTTGTAGATGCTGATATTATGTGATTTGTGAGTCACCTTACCTTTGACCCTGTAGAATAGTGATGGCGAACCTTTTGAACTCGGCCTGTCAGCATTTTGAAAAACCCTAACTTAACTCTGGTGCCGTGTCACATATAGAAATTTTTTGAGATTTGCAATCATAGTAAAACAAAGATTTATATTTTTTGATATTTATTTTATATATTTAAATGTCATTTAACAAAGAAAAATATACCAAAAAAATGAGTTAGCGTGTCACCTCTGACAAGCTTGTTATATGTTCGCCATCACTGGTGTAGACCCTGCATTGAGATAGCGTTCATCCTGACGCTGAGCTGTGCCCCTTCAATCCTGTGCTGGAGGCCAGAGCCTCACCTGCCTCTGACTGGTGCCACCCTCCCCTGTTCACAGCAAGTGACAGATCCCTCTTCTCCCCGCTCTGTGCTCAGGGTGCTGACACACACAGGGAACCTGGTCATGCAGAGTTGTGCTTCCTGGATCGGGTCCGTTCTTGGCACCTGGATGAGGGGAGGCAGTACAGACTCACCTGCTACATCTCCTGGACCCCCGGCCCTGACTGTGCCCAGAAACTGGTGGAATTCCTGGGCGAGAACAGACACGTGAGCCTGCGCATCTTCGCTGCTGGCATCCATACCAAATACCGTGGACATGAGGATGGGCTACGCCAGCTGTGGGACGCTGGGGCCCAAATCGCCATCATGACCCTCAATGGTCAGCAGGGACTCCTGAGGGTGGGAGGTGGGCGGGCAGAGAGGCTGGGAAATGGCCACACAGAGGGGGCAGAAGGAGAATCCAGGTGGGGACCCCTTTCAGCTGCCTGCAGGGGGGCTGCTGGGTCTGGAGAGGATGGAGTCCCCTGGAGGAGAGAGTTCAGGGGACAGAGGGGGTCCTGGGAAGTGGGGACGTGGGTCCCTGTGCCATCAGGACCCAGTCCTTCCTGGTAGAAGGGGAGGGGCTGCCTCAGATTCCAGTGGAAGGAAGAATTTGAGGGAGGAGCTCAGTGCCTTGGGAGGAGAGAGAAAGGGGGCAGGGAGATCCTGATGGGGAGGGTGTGTCCCTAGAGTCAGACACCTGGGCCCTCCCTGCTCTAGAAGGAGCTCACCTTTCCCTCCCTGTTCCCCTAGAGCTCCAGCACTGCTGGGAAACCTTCGTGGACAACCAGGGCCAGCCATTCGAGCCCTGGCCTATCCAGGTAGAACACATACAAACCGAATCTCAGAAGCTGAAGGACATTCTCAGGGTGAGGTCCCTCCCTCCTGCTCCCCCCTCCCCTTCTCTCCCTGGTCCTGTCTCTGCCTCTGGGTCTCCTGCTCCCCCCTGGGCCCCAGCTCCATCCCTCCCCTCAGGGATCACAGTCCCTCTGCTTTCTCCCCTCCTGCGCCCCTTTTCCTTCCCCTCCTGTGACTGCCCCAGACTCTGCTCTGTTCACCTTCCCACCCGCCTCACTTCCTGCTTCCTCCACCTCCTCCTTCTCCATCCAGAATCAGGGAAACTGAAGGATGGACTCAATCTCTCTAAACAGTCGGGGGTCTTCTGGTGAACGACGCATAGAACACTTTCTTCAAGAAATGAAAACGCATCACGTGCTGCCATCTCCAACTTGATCCACAGAAACCAGCAAAAGGCAGCGAATGGGCTCAGAAGGAATTTTTTAAAAATCTGATTGATTTACTTTTCATTTAAAATCAGTGATATGTTATAAATACACCCCAGTAACATTCTATTCATTACTATCAGTATCATTTTTTACTTTGAGGGAAATGATTGTTTTTTATTGATTATAAAACTAAAACAATAAAATGAAAGATTAAGAATCTCCATAAAATGTCTTTTCCTCTGTAAGTGTGTCATGAAGTGCAAATCGTTCAAGAAACACCTGCAAAGTGCAAAGGGCTTTCTCTTAAGTGGGTCCCTTCATGGGAGGGCCGTGGTCACACGAATTTCTACGGGTCAAGAAAAAGTCAATAATGTTTATAGGATGAGAGGAGCCGGCCTGAAAGGGAGCAGCCTGGTTCTCAGTGCGGGGGGTGAGGGGGGGGGCCAGGGTTGCAATCCATGGGGCTGGCCCCGCCCTCTCTGAGCTGGGTACTTCCCCTGGAGGGAGCTCAGGGCTGCACAGAGTGGTCTGAGGGGAGCCGGATGGACAGTCAGTGGGACAGAGGCGCATCCCGTTGGGGACAAACTCTACAGCTGGGGCTCAGGTCACACTTGAGCCTGGAACACAAAGTCCCCCGGCTCCTCACAGGCTGGGGGTGGAGAGGACGAGCGGTGACCCTTCCTGAGGTGGGCACACCCTGCATCCTCTGCTCCCAGGCCATCCTGGCCGCCCTGCTGGGAGCCTCTCTGTTCTCCTCTGTGTGATGGGCGGACAAAGGCTCCGAGACCAGTTCCTTCCATTCAGGGTGGCTCCTAAGGGGAGCTCAGCTAGCGTTGGTCCCGCCCTGCCCTTCCCCTCAGGGCGGAGTCTCCCTCCCGGCCTGGAGGGGCTGAAAGGCGGGTTGTGTCTAGAAGAGGGGAGCGTGGGGGAGGCAGCACCAGCCTCCCTCCTCTGCACAGTGTCCCAGGCCCACGGCTCCCCGGTGTCAGCTCCCGCGCTGTCTTCTGTGGTCTCCTCTGGACCCTGAGGGCCGCTCACCTCCAATGTCACTCTCCTCCGGGATGGACATGGGAAAGAGGAGAGGCCCTACCCCCAGCTTCTGAGCCTGTGCATCCTTTCAGGGCACGGTTGTCGTTACTCTGAGCAGGATGGCCGGTGGGAAACCAACGGATTCACTGTTTCTACCGGAGGCTCCTTTGGAGACTCCAGTGACCTGCACTGGGGACAGGAGAGCCTGGAGGGACATAAAGGCAAAGCCCTGACACAGGTGCTTAGAGCTCATTCTCCCGTCCGTCCTCTCCAGTCCTCTCCGAGGGAGAGGGGATGAGGCTGGTCGGTGGGGCAGGAACAAGGCAAAGGGCCGCAGAAGAACTGGACGGAGGAGGGGTTAAACCTGCGGAGCGCTGGGCACAGCTTCCAGTCCTGCACCCTCCCCCCCCAGCCTGCGATGTCTGGTCCCCAAGACAATACATGGTGGGTGTCACTTAGCTGCTGGCATTGTCGTGCTCTGGTGAGGTGGCTTTTTAAATACATTTTTATTGATTTCAGAGAGTAATGAAGAGGGAGAGAGAGATAGAGACTTCAATGCTGAGAGAGAGGTCTTGATCAGCAGCCTCCTGCACGCCCCACACTGGGATCAAGCCTGCAACCTGGGCATGTGCCCCGACCGGGAATCAAACCATGACCTCCTGGTTCATAGGCCGACGCTCAACCACTGAGCCACGTGGGCCAGGCAGGCTGTTTCTTTGAGAGCCTGGTGGCCACGCATCCTGTGTGAGTCCTGAGTCCTGGTGTCACAGGGCAGTGGACGAGGTGGGCATCGCAAATTCACTCCTGTTCCATGTAGCTGATAAGACTGTGATTTTAGGAGGAGACCAAGATGGCGGCGTAGGTAAACACCGGAGACCGCTGCCGCAAACAACCATTTCAAAAATACAACTAAAAGACGGAACGGGCATCACCCAGAACCACAGGAAGGCTGGCTGAAGAGAGACTCTACAACTAGAAGGAAAGAGAACTGCAAACCGAGGCTCAGAGGCGGCGCAGTGTGGAAAATACAAAGGTACCGAGGTGCGCGCGCAAAGTGGGCTGGTGGCTGAGGGCGCGGTTTTCGTTTTCGGTCAGGAGTGAGTCTCAGACTCTGGGCTCCAGATCTGGGCGAGTCTCTAGGGACCCAGACTAAAATGGGAGAAGCGGGATTATCCGGCATCAGTTGGAACCTGAGGGCAGCTTTCTCTCCGAGGTTTGCAGCGGCTGCCGGGGTTCTGAGAAGCAGAGCCTCTGGGAACGGGGCTGAGAGCGGCCATAACTGCTCCCTCCGCCCGCCATGTTGAGCCCGCCCCGCCCAAACCCTGCGCACAGCCATTTGCCGATCGCCTCAGGCAAAGGCTGGATTAGCGCCTGCCCAGAAGGCAGACGTTTTCCATACAGCTGATTCCTACAGCCAGTCGGCCTGGTGGTCAAATCCCTCTAGTGTTAACTACAACAATTAAGGCTTGGCTAGAAGAAGACTGCGCACAAAGACCACAAGGGGGTGCACCAAGAAAGCATAAAAGATGCGGAGACAAAAAAACATGACAGAAATGGAGGATATGGAGCTAAGAATCGCAATTTTGAGGGCTTGCTATAAACTTGTGCAGAGCCTCACGAAAACTAATGAGACCCTCGATGCTACGATAAAGAAATTAGAAAGTAAGCATACACGGACTGAAATAAAGAATATTATACCAAATAGCAGACCAGAGGAGCACAAGAATCAAACCAAAGATTCGACAAAAAACACCCAACTGGAAAAGCAAAATGAAAAAAGAATCCGAAAGTGTGAAGATAGTGTAAGGAGCCTCTGGGACAGCTACAAGCGTACCAACATCAGAATAATAGGGGTGCCAGAAGATGAGAGGCAGCAAGATATTGAAAACCTATTTGAAGAAATAATGGCAGAAAACTTCCCCCACCTGGTGAAAGAAATGGACTTACAGGTCCAAGAAGCGCAGAGAACCCCAAACAAAAGGAATCCAAAGAGGACCACACCAAGACACATCATCATTAAAATGCCAAGAGCAAAAGACAAAGAGAGAATCTTAAAAGCAGCAAGAGAAAGAGACTCAATTACCTACAAGGGAATACCCATACGACTGTCA